CATTATCAACAGTGTTGGGAGCAAAGGAACCGGTCTCCCGAAGACGTCTCTCAACAGCAGCAAAAGTTGGGTGGCTAGGTACACAACGATTTGGAAACCTTTCAGATTACACCCTGACACTCTCTCGAGCATTTCCTTCACAAAATCCTAATGTCAGTAACATATCGGTATATTCTGCATTGGTATATTGTACAGCCATATTAATAAACCACGCATTTGTTTTTTTAATTATTGAGTCAGATAGAACACTTTCAATCGTTAACAAGAGATTAGGTGTTAAAACTGGACAATATTTTTATTTAGATGAAACTATGGAAACCAACAATAAATGTTTTTGTATACGTATTGCAGGAAAATAATTAATATTCTTCAAAAAATCGTACATGGCAAGAATCGAGTATTTTTGTTAAAAGTCTCGATTTGAGGTGTTGAAGAAGATATGAAAAAAGTACATTTTTATGTTTTTCATCGTATAAAATTTTGTCCGATAATAATACATAGGCGTAGAACTTGATTTTTTAAATAATTGCACCTTTAGAAATTCTACGCCGATGGCAAAAAAAGGGTTTGAGTATGAAATTTGGATTGGGTACTCATTTACTACAAAAAAGTACCCTTGATAACACTCGATTTACTCTCATGGTTTTGACAAAGTTTGTATTTTAATAATTATTGTTTATGTTCTAAAATTACTAAAATGGAAATTTCGTCAAAACCATGAGAGTAATCGAGTCTTATCGAAAGTACCTTTTTTAAAGTAAATGAGTTGCGTAATCTAAATTTCATACTCAAACTCCTTTTTTTCCATTGGCGTAGAATTTTTAAAGGTGCAATTATTAAAAAAATCAAGTTCTACGCCTATGTATTATTATCGGACAAATTTTTAATACCATTTTTTTTGCTACATAAAACTCTTCCAATATACCAATTTTAGCCCAATCGGATTAGTATTTTAGATTCTGAAAAATTCGAAGCAGCAATTTTCCTTCGGAATTCGTTGGAGGGGGTCTCTGGTAGTCTAAATTCAAAAAGTTGGGATTCCAAAGTTGTCGTTACCTCCGCCATCTTGATTTAAAGGGTTATTTTTTGTATCTTGAATAACTAATTTATTTTCAATTTTACACGGAAAATAGTTTTTACAAAAGTTATTTAAAATTAAATTTCCTACAATTCTGCTTTTTTTTTGTACGATCGATTTTTTTCGATTTATACCCGAAAAGAGGGGGTGAATTTTTGGTTATAGAATAACTCGTTTATTTTCAATTTTACGAGAAAAATTGTTATAAACAAAGTTGTTTAAAATTAAATTTCCTACAATTCTGTTTTTTTTGTACGATCGATTTTTTCGATTTATCCCTGAGAAGAGTGGGGGTGAACCTAAGTATTGTATTGTCACGTTTATTATTGATGTTATTTTTTCTGTTTGTTTTTTTTTGCTGATTTTCAAAAATGTTATTTGGTACAATTATGATTCCGAGTTTACCCCCACTCTTCTCAGGAATAAATACAAAAAAATCGAGCGTACAAAAAAAAACAGAATTGTAGGAAATTTAATTTTAAACAACCTTGTTTATAACAATTTTTCTCGTAAAATTGAAAATAAACGAGTTATTCTATAACCATAAATTCACCCCCTCTTTTCGGGTATAAATCGAAAAAAATCGATCGTACAAAAAAAAAGCAGAATTGTAGGAAATTTAATGTTAAATAACTTTTGTAAAAACTATTTTCCGTGTAAAATTGAAAATAAATGAGTTATTCAAGATACAAAAAATAACCCTTTAAATCAAGATGGCGGAGGGTAACGACAACTTTGGAATCCCAACTTTTTGAATTTAGACTACCAGAGACCCCCTCCAACGAATTCCGAAGGAAAATTGCTGCTTCGAATTTTTCAGAATCTCAAGCCTGTTCTTCACCTAATCCGATTGGGCTATTTCAACAAAATCGCATATGCTGTTTTAAATTTATATGGGAAAAACGATTTAAAAATTGTAACTTCAAGGCCCTCTGGAGCCCAAACGAAGCAACTTTGTACTAAGGTAATTTTACTTAAATCGACTTATTTTGGTCTAAGGAATATGTGGTATGTTTTTGTAAATACCTCTTACCGACACCCTGTATTATTCAAGCTTGATTCCAAAATAAAACAATTTGCTTAAGGTACGCCATATCCCTTTTAAATTTCCGCACACTCCTCTTCTCCGAATTTCCACTCTTTCCAATTTTCAACGCAAGATTTTCCAGACTTTCGGCGTCCATTATGATAGTGCTTTCAAACGCCATAAATTACGCCGTTACCACTGCTGGCTTAGTTACATTTTATTTCCACTTTTTTTTTAAGTCAGAAGGTCGGAATATGGCAGTACCGGCTTTGGCTTTTTTGTCTTTTCTTGGCCGGTAATCTCTGTCGTAAAAGATTTATTACCGTACGCTTATTGAAAAGAGAGTGGATTTATGTTGAGTGAAAAATGGGGTAATGTCACAAGATGTGGTTTGTTAAATACAGGATTTTTTTGGAAATACATGTACAAAGTTCGAATATTAATTTTGTTTTATTATGTATATGTATTTTAAAAGTATTCTATATACAAATAAAATAAAAATAAACAAACTTACGGTTACGTACAATATTTGTTTAATAAAACCTTTTAACCTACATTATATCTAGTAGATTATGGACAAAAAACCTAATATATTGTTACACATTTTTTATAATTTATTTGGATTCACTAAATAGACTGAATAAAGTGGTTTATGATAAAGCAAATATGAGAAAATTACTTCATATTCACTTTTGAAAATAAGGATTTATTCAAATTTTAGTATGTTATTTTTCAGGTCATTAGGGGCAAGTTTCTTATGGATCTCAAGTAGACAGCTCTACAGGGTGTGCTGTTAGAAGGATTCAAAAGTAAGGAGTGCAGAATTAATATTTTCAAATATATATTTACCACTCTTTAGTAATTCTTGTTTTTTCCATGAAACTTATGTCATGTGTTACACTTGTATATAGTTTGTTCATGCTTACTTACACTTTGCAAAAGAAATTATACAGAGTGTTCAAAAAATTAAGAATATCAATTTCTGAAATATGGTGCATTTTATATGTATTGCCATAGTTAGAATATGACTGTTTTCTTGTTTCATTTCATATCAGATAATTTTTATAAGTAATACAGGGTGTGATACAACTATATAAACAACTAAAAATTACAAAAATGCATTTAACGAAAAATTGGTATATCTAAAATATTGTAAAAAGTATTGAAACGAATTTAGTTTTGCTTGTATTATAATCATAGCTCTGTTTATCTAAGCAAGTCCCATTTTTACTACATAAACTAAACTACTCAAACGTAGAAATAATTCTACTAACTCTGACTTGAATGAATGACTTCTAATTGAAAAGCCTTTTCTAATTACACTACAGATGTCAGCTTCTGAATATAATTCTATTTTTAAGAATTTAGGTTAATTTTAGTTAAATTAAACCAAAAAAACTTTTACAGTTTTTTCAGTAGTAATATATTTAAAAACTTCGTGATATGAATACTCATGGTATTTAATCCTGACCAATTCTTATTGTTTATCTATTCCACACCACTATATACTTTACATAATTACAAAATGATTCTACAAGATAAAAGGTTGACGAGTGTTAGACTAAATAACAGCTAAATTATCATGATAGGGTTAACGCGTTGCTATCTTTGCAATTTTGGACTACATTTGCTCCATCTGAGATGTTGTGAATCTTTGATCACGTGATTTGATTCAAGGTAGGTAAATTAGTTGGAACAGATGCGTTTAATGTGGATAAACAAACGTTCGACAGTTAAAAAATCGAATGTGGATATTGAAACGTAGCAATTCTATTTTACACTGTATTTTTTCTTCTTCTTTTTTGGGCTATTTCAGTTATTAGGTTGTTATTAGAAATTTTTTGATAGTAGGTAGTTTATTTTTGTTAGGAAACTTTCTATGTGACGTGCCTTCATTTTTTTTGCATTATCTTTAAGATTTGCGAACAATGTGAAGCACACTTTATTTATAGAGTCTAAAAAAATTCAAAAGAATCACCATTACTAGATATTACTGTACCTACATGTAAGACTGTTCAAGAACTATATGGATGTGTGCTCATATTTCAAGTGTTTTGAGGTAGGTACCTGGAATACGCACGATTCGAAAATTATATAAAGTACTCTATAAGTGTTTTATTAATGACTATTTTAGATGCTGTTCAAAGATGAGTAAGATTTTGAAGGTGTGTAACTATGGATTTATAAGTCTAAAAATCTATGTACATAAATTGTAATATTTTTGTATTAAATATTATTTGTCTTTCTGTCACACCCTGTATTATAAATAAATAGTATTCAGTAATTTATATAACAAATAAGTGATCAGAAGGCATGTTCTAATTATGGTAATACATGAAAATGCACCTCATTTCAGTAATTAATATTCCTATTTTTTTAACACTCTGTATGATTTATTTTACAAAGTAAAAGTAAGTAATAACAAGCCATATACAATTGTAACGCATGTCATAAGTTTCATGAAAAAACCATGAATTATTTAAGAGTGGTAAAGATATATATGAAAATATTAATTATGCACTCCTTACTTTTGACTCAGTCTGACAGCTCACCCTGTAGAGCTGCAAACTTGATGTCCATAAGAAAGTTTCCCATTATGACCTGAAAAGTAACATACTAAAATTTTAACCAATTCTGTCAGTACCCAAAATCAATGTAAAAAGTGCGGGGTCCTTTATGAAAATGCAAGATCTGTCCAAAATTTAGACTCTCCTCAACAAATAATGGGTTTAATTGGTATTGATAAAAGGATTAAATTTAACGAAACTTTGAAACACTACTTCCTGCGACGCGGCAGGCAGTTACAGTGCGAATAATTTCAATGTCAATCTGTAAACAATCAGAATAAATATGTATCTATTTTTCTATCTAAGAGGTTAATTTAAAACTACTCACTTGCAACGATCTCCTACTGGATCCGCTATTCGACCTCGACAACATAGGTGGTCTCCTCTTCGTAGCTCCCCGGCCAGCCAGCAAGTTGTTCAATAGCGAAGGACTCCTGGCACAGATAAAGGCATGGAATGATGATACTGTGAAGACGCCCAGTTTGTTCAATGTGTTTTTCGTTGCTCGAGACACGTGCGTCAGCAGGGACTGAAATGAAACACAATTATATATTAATTATAGTTACAAATTATTCTATCTATTAAAAAAAAAGGAATAATTCATATTTATCCTTTTAAGGTCTAAATTTTAACTTCTTGAATTATGTACTTTTCTTTAATCAAGGGTAATATAATAAGGGGTAAGGTTAATAAAGAGAATTTGTTCAAATGTCATGAATGTCAGCTCTTTTGTAACCCTAATGAATGAAATTTAAATTCTGTCATTACTTATTACTTGTTTTATATTAGTGGAAACTTATACATCTCGCACCGCCACTGCTCATGCTCTATGTCTACCTGTTTTGTATGTTACTGATGATGTTCACAGCTCTAATGTGGACTACAGTATTGTTGACATCTGCTTTGCTAACTTGGTTTTCAACTATTTTAGTATTAAATTTGAATTTAAAACGATTAAAAATCTATTCAAAAACAGTGCAATTTTTTAAGGTTAAGCTTAGTTCGGTAGTTCTCTTAATTACTAAAAATAAAATCTGCTCTTTTTGTGTTCAAAATTAAACCGAAGTTTCTTTGGCATAGAACGGCTTAAATTGAAATTCTTTCTTTAATTAAAAATTTTATACAACTGTGTTGTAGAGTTATCCGTTAAATTCACTAACTGCCGAAAAATTGATATTTAGAAACGTATTTCAAGAACATCAATGCTGGGAATAAATAATTCTGTGTTTTGCTGAGTGAAGAATTTTGGGTATCTACTAAATAAATATAGAAAAAATAGCAAAATTGGTAAGGAAAATAGAAAGAATTTATAGAAAAATTAAAGACAAAAAAGGAAATAGAAATAGAATTTATTCATCTTTGAGAATTATACAGTATACAAAGACACTAGGTACATAATGTAAAATCCTATCAGACTAGTCAAAAAAGTGTTAAGTAAAATATATTAAAAAATAAAATAAAATTATATAATAGACAATTCATGATAAGATTAGTTTAAAAGTTCAAAAAATCTTCAATACTATAAAATACATTATTTACAAGAAACTCATTAAGATGTTTTCTTAAATCATTACGACTAATTTGATGATAACCTGTAGTATCTTCTAATATGTTACTGAACTTATTGTAACACTTAATCCCAATATATTTTGGTGAATGCTGGCTTATTTGTAGTCGTGAAAAAGGTTGATGGATGTTAAATTTTAATCTAGTATCAGCAGGTTTTTATTTTTCTTAAATATATGCTTATTATCTTTTGTCTAAAATTAGTTGAAAAATAAAGAGGGAAGGTAGTGTTAAAATTTGCATAATGTTGTTGGTGTCACCTTATACATGACTCTCAGAACCTTCTTTTGAAGTATGGTGAAGAACCCCAAAATATTAACCCATATTTTAGAGTTGAATGAACCAAACCAAAATAGCATAGTTTTAAAGTATTAAAAGATAGTGTCTCCCTTAAATTTTTGATGATATAACAACAAGTACTTAATTTTGAAGTTAGCGTTTTTATATTAGCTTCCTAATTTAATTTGGGATCTAATGTTATTCCTAAAAATTTTATGTCATCAACACTTTGAATAGTTTTTCCGTCAACGTGCAAGTAGGGTTTGTAATCTGGTAATATGTTTTTGGGTAGAATTGCATGAAATTTGTTTTTGTTACATTTAATGCCAGACCATAGATTAACCACAACAGATGCGAAACCCGGCAAAAGATCAAAGGATTTTGAAATGAGATTTCTATGATCTTGGACTTTTAAATGGGTATGGCATAGGTGTTGCCAATTTTAATTATTTTCAATCAGTCTTACTAAATATGACTTTTTTCTAAACATGCGTTTTGGATGCCAGGGTTGGTTTAGTAGTCGTTGAGGTCCCTATTTTATCAGGTTTGAAGTTAGAGGCTAGGTTTGAAAAATTTTCTTTACTCTTATGCGATTTCTGGTTTTGTGAATCTTCAAGAAATCGCTGACTTTGTTTAAAGTTGAATCGGGAATAAATTATATTTTTCCGAAAAAAATCTGATTTATATACTTGCTCCTGAAAATGAGGATCTATTCCCACTAGAAAAGTTTGATTATTCTATTTTACAAAATATGTGTCTTCAAATAAATGTCTTCTGCGTTTGTGCGTTTATGAATATATTTCTTAACATTCTCTTCATTTACAGTGTCTGATACTCTAGATACAAAGAGCCAATTTTTTTTGTTTGAACTTAGAGATAACGAAGAAATAGAGAAATAATTGATTAGTATACTAAATATAAAATATTATGAATGTAAAGATTTTACCAATAATACAAAATTGGTTAAATTCACTGATTTTTAAATTAAATTTTAATTCATATATATTCTACCTATCTGACTATTTAAATCAAAATAATTTAAGCATTTTGCTTTTAAGAGTAAAGTGTTTTTTTAAAAATAGCTTTTCCTACACAAACTAAACTAAAACATCACGTTAAATTGTAAAATTAACAAAATAAATGTTAACATTGCCTTTTTTTACCCCTGTTAAATTAGTTTTCTAAGAAATTTTTCCGACGTGAGTATTTTTGATTAATTTCTATCACGTAACTTAGACGTCACGCTGGTAAATTGAAATATTACTTACGTAAACACAGGCAGATTGAGCTGGCTGCTATGTGATACCACGAATTCATCTCATTTTATTGCGAATTCTTGGAACGTTTGGATAACGTTTCTTATCGAGAATTAAATAAACATGTAAATATCCCGCATAAAGAATATGATTCCTATGTCACGTGACGCTGATTTCGACCAATCGAGTTGACTAAATTTTGTTATCAAGGGTCAATAGCTTTACATTAATGAGTTATTGGAATTTGGTCATGTAGTATTTAGGATAGACTTTAAAAAACGCTTTACCGGACTTCCCAAAACCTAAACAAATGTGAAGGTACGAAAAAATTATTGAAATTTTAAAATTTCTAAATATTGTGTTTCGTTTTCTTCTTTTAATTCAAAATTGCTTATTATTTCAAAGTTCATGCAGTATTTCATCACAAATAAGGAGAAGCAACATTAAAGAAATTATGATTTTTCAAATACGTACGCATATATGTCAAAATAAACTTTAGACTATGCCCACTATCTATTATGTATTTAAAACACTTCAATTATTTGTTGTTTGTAGAAATTGTTGTATACCATTTTCACTAAATGTCCAATATCATGTATACTCTCAGTTTGTTGCTGTCAAAGCTTCGTATACAAGTTAAAATTACACACCATTGGTGGAATTATTCGGCAGTTTGCAAGGTTAGCTGAAATTCCATTGATAATCATTAGGGTTTATTTCCACTTTCCGACATATAATTTATCAGAATAATCCAATGAAAAGTATCTGAACATGCCTATTAAACCCGACCATTTCTGGCATTTGGCAAACGCTATTGGGGTGGCAGTTTATAGTGTTAAATAAATCGTATGCCGGTATGGGTAACCTTAACACAGTGAAGTATAATAATATGTAGGTGTTATAAGAAAATTATTTCCATTAATGAGTTTTTTTTTTTTTTCGTTCAAAAGGCTATTACCGAAATAATAGTAAGTAAGTTAATGTGTAAAGAATGCTGTCATAAGTCATTGCAAAATTGGCATTTTTGGCACCGCAAAGCCAATATATTTATACCTTGCTATAAAAGTTAACAGGGATTAATAGATTTGCATCAGCATATGAGACATGTGGCAAATTAGCAATGTAAATGCGAGGATAAAACTTTGTGGAATACCATTAACAACATAATAGAGCATAAAATCTCACCAATATTTTACACTCATAGGATTCTATCAAACATAATAATTTTACTCTAATAAAAACACCATCAATTTATCCTCAGTAAAAGCTGGCAAGTGGCACGTGGATTACAGGTAGTTCTCTCTGACAGTTGAAGGGTGGAGCATATTAATTACATTGAGGTTTGTAGATGGATTTCCTTCAGGCAGAAAATACGTAAATTGGGATGGATGAGATTATTAATATTAATCATTTTTAATGAATTTCGGCTATTTGAACGGGTAGCTCATTGTTTATTATTTCAAAGCCATATAAATTAAGTCTTACTGTGATTAATTTCATCATTAACCAAGTGTATTAAATATATTATTATAAATCAAATGGAATTTATATAATTTTATGTTTTATGTAATGTCTTTTTCATTAAATATAACATTGAATTACGATTGAGCTATAATGAGATATATCTGTGCACTTTAATTGATCTGTTAAATTGAAATTATTTGAAAATTCTCGCATTTTATATATCATCTAATTAGTTAATATTTATTACTGTTAATCAATGTTCTATCAATTAAATGTAGCTAATTAAAACTTATCTGAATAAATATAATTTATTTGTGCATGCAATAGAAATAATTAATATATCTGTTTGGACTATTATATTACAGTGTGTCTATTTGAGTTAAAAAACTTTTAATTCAAAGTTGAGTTTATTTTCATCAAATTAATGTTATCTTACTTTTAAACTTTTTTTATAAAAAACACATTATAAAGAACTTTTATTAATTAATCACAAATTTTGTTTAAATCTAACTTAACTAAGGTTGTTATGTTAAAAACTAAAGTTTTATTCTCTAGTAAACCTTAGGAATTACACTAAGATAACGTTTAAGACTAAACTGCACAATATCCTGTTATTTTTACTAACACAATTACTTCGCTAACTCAAAAGGTTTCACTTTCTTGAGTCTTCTTATCAGGTTGATGTTGTCAAGAAGCTGGATCGCCTAAACGTTCACATCCTAGTGAGACCGTTGTTCATGATTCCTAGCAAATCTAGAAATCTAGACAACAGTGTTCATTTGATGATCTCGATAGAGAGCGCCGTTTATAATGTACCAAAGAGCATTGACAATGTTCCTCACTACTTTGTTCTAGTTATTAGTATTACATAATAGTTTAAGGTGAGTGCAATATGCTTATTTTCTATTATGTTTTCATCCCAGATTCGGAAATTACTTCCAAAAATCAGTTTGGGTTACACCTA